TAGAATTATTAATCTTACTTTTTCGGTCATATTTAATAATATATATATATATATATAGATATAGATATAGATATATCTAACTCTAAAATAAAGAGCAACATGAATATAGGAAAGTCCTTGCACTTATCATAATTATTGAAGATCACCGCGGGGGTCCCAATGACGTCGGTCGCCTTCCACGGTTGCCCGCCACTAAGTGAACGAATCGCCCTTCTCTGTCCAACCGCCAGCATTCAAATAGTATTTATTTTCGAATCGTATCCCCAATTTATTCACTTCTTTGAATTATTGAGTTCCAAACTGGTTTCATACACAACTCTGATTTGTATACATATTTTAAATCACTGAATGTCCTTGAAACTATTTATTTGGCTTCATTGAATTGATGTTTCTATTCTTTTAGAGGGGAACATTTTCACACTGACAATGCACTGTGCATGCCACTGCACCAGTGGGAATTCTAAATGTCCTGATGATCTTTTCTGGCTGTATTTTAAAACTCGGCAGAGTTTTGGCGTTTACTGCTTCAGCAGGAAGGCGTTTCCACAGGTTTACAACTCTTTGCGTGAAAAATCATCTGCTGTTTTTTGTCCTACATTATAGCTTGCTGAGCTTGAACGCAATGCTCCTCGTTCGTGTTACATCAGATCTTTTGAAGAAACTGTTCGGATCGACATCGTCCAATTTGCTTAATATTTTCAAGGTTTCTATGAGATCTGCCCTGTCATGCCTGGTCTGCAGTGTTGCTAGCCCAGTGGCCCTCAACCGTTTCTGATATGAGTTTACTAAGCTCTGGTATGATTTTTGTTCCCCGGTGTTGCACCTTCTCCAGAGCATCTGTCTTTCTGAAGGTGAGGTCTCGATCCCTGCCTGGATGCAATAATCCAGATGGGGGCGCACCAGAGACTTATACAATTCAACGACTAAATTCTTTTCCTTCAAGGTAAAGGTACGCTTGAATATTTCCCAGGGTTTGGTTCACTTTTTCTACCGCAACGAACCGTCACTTTGGTGCAACTTTTAGTGAATGATGGATTCTGACTCCAAGGTCATTTTCTTCATCAATCTGTTGTAAGGTAGTGCTCTCAATCTGGTAGTTGTGACATGGATTGTAATGCCCCACATGCAAGGTCTTGCATTTATCGACATTTATTTTTTATTTATTTATAAATATACAAGAAGGTACATTGGGTTTCCTCAGAGTACATAGCACTGATCTTTTTACATTCTTGTAAAGCCACTAACACGCATTGTTTCAGGCAGTTACTTAATCTAACAGATAATTTGAAGTCCGTTAAAACTACGTTAATAAGATAGTAGCAATGAGTAGCAATGATTACAATAGTAAAGTTGTATGGCTTAGGTACATATATTGGGGGATTGGGTAGCACTAGATACAGTGCGAGTTTAAAGCACTTAGTAGGAAATTATGAAGATGAAATTAGGTACTTTTTGGTTTTATATTTTAATAAGGCATTAAGTTCTACAGCTTTTCAATTCATTAGGGAGTGAGTTCCATAGACTAGGTTCCTTTATTTGCATAGTATTTACACAGATTAAGTTTGGCTCTGGGGATATCAAAGAGATATTTATTTCTGGTGTGGTGATTATGGGTCCTATTACATCTGTCCAGGAAGAGTTTCAGAACAGGGTTTGTATTTAAGAACAGGGTTTTGTACATGTAAATGGCACAAGATATTGCGTGGAGTGAGTTTATGTTTAGCATGTTTAGGGATTTAAACAGGGGGAGTTGAGTGTTGTCTGGAAGCAGAGTTTATTGTTCTGATGGCAGATTTTTGCTGGGCGATGATGGGCTTGAGGTGGTTTGCAATAGTTAAACCTCATGCACAGATATCATATGTAAGATAGGGATAGACTAGCACGTAGTATAGTGAGAAAAGAGCAGAGTTTGGAACATAATATCTGATTTTAAAGAGTATACCAACCGTTTTTGAGACTTTCTTAGCTATGTGTTTATCTACTACATTATCTATCTGAAACTGAATTGCATTTTTGATTTGCTTCCAAATAGGATGTAGTAGATCTTTTCTATGTTTAGTACGAGTTTGTTGGTTGACATTCATAAGTGGACTTTTTTTTTTTAGTTCATTATTTACAACATTATTTAATGTGTGGGGTTGGGGTATGAGTAGATGAAGGTACTATCGTCAGCAAATAATATAGGTTAAAGAATGTTGATGAAGACATTAGGCAGATCATTGCTGTATATAAGAAATAGGAGGGGTCCTGGGTTGCTGCCATGCGACACCCCTACGGTTAATGGTGGAGGTTATATCATTGATGGCTACATATTGGTGTCTATCACTAAGATAGGATCGGATATAGTTCAGGGCAAGGCCTCAGATTCCATAGTGGTGGAGTTTAAGTAAGAGGTATTTATAATTAAGAGTATCACAGGCCTTTCTCAGGTCAATGAAGAGTACAATCAGAAACTCATTTTTGTCAAGGGCCGAGTAGATTACGTCAAGCAGACTAATAATTGCAGCGTTGGTACTCTTTTGGGAGCGGAAGCTAAACTGACAGGAACTTAGTATATTGAATTTTACGAGACAGGAGTAGAACTGTATAAATATTTTTTATAAAATAGGTGGATTTGATATCAGTCTGTAATTGTTTGTCTGCCGGATTGCCTCCTTTATGAATTGGCATTACTCGTGATTTTTTATTTACATATATACAAGAAGGTACATTTGGTTTCTCAGAGTACATAGCACTGAGGTTTTTACATTCTTTTAAAGCCACTAGTACGCATAACGTTTCGAGCAGGTCCTTAATCGAACAGAAAATTTTAAGTAGGTATTTTCTGGTAAAATTTATAAAATAACAGGTACATTGTAAGAAAATTTGACAAAGATTAGTAGGTACATTAAAGTAAAATTTGATGGTTATAAACAGGTACCTAATAGCATAATTGGAGGATTATTTCAAGGTATAATGCAATAATCAGGGATATCAGGGAGAAGGTATAACACAGAAATTTGTTGAACAGCAGAGCTTTAGGTGGAGCAACGGCATGGGAGGCACTTGTGGGAACCGACCTGTGAGATTTATATTTATTTAATTTATATGAATTTATATAGAATTTATATTTACGTTAATTTATATATTTCGATAGCAATTAGTATGATGTTAAGTGGACTGTATTTCTGCAATATTCTCACAAATCGATCCTTACACATTAGGGGGGGGGGGGTTTATATTAAATTTATATATATGCAGCCAATCAAACTACAGTATTAAACTACATATATTAGTAAATAAATTGGAGGTGCCTTATCTTATTGTACAGCAGGCTTAGTCCACCAGATATAACTAGGATGTAGACACCAAATTATCCTCGTGTGAGGCTAGCTTCCATCACCCATAGTAACTGATGTACCAAGATTAATTTGCATTCTCTTCTTGTTCCTGTCAAAGGGCGCTAGCTGTAAAGCCGGAATCCTAATATATGATAGCTATATCAGAGAAAACACTGTATATTAGATAAGATAAGGACCAAGGCTTAATTACCTGGGTTGAGTCGATTGTGTTCTAACCGGATCGCCCAATATCTGCCTAACATTAACTGGCCAAAAATGATTAGATAAACGGGTTTCGGAAAAACACTTCCCTTGTGGTTGTTGACAGCGTGTTGATGATGGTAGAACCCTTTGATCTCCATAACACTTCGTCCAAGAGAAATTATAGGAGCTGAACTCGCTCCAGCAACTCTGGTCTTAACAAACAATGGCTAACCTCTCCCTCACCACTGACGCCTTGCCTCTCCTTGTCCAATGTCAATAAGTGATAGAAGGGTCACATTTACTTTATTTTGATACTGATAATTAAGTTAATTCAAATGAGATGTTTTTATGATATAAAAAGTCCAAAGACTAATGTATTTAAGAACGATTCCCAACAGAATAGCTGGTGAATTTATAGTACTATGTGGCAATGATATCCCATTTTCTATTGACAGAAAACTCCACTACAAGCTACATTTTCTATGGGCAACTTGTGTATACAATGGCAGCAATATTATCTGCCTATTGTATGTAATATTATTAAATGGTGTCGGATTTTCCGACAGCACTCTTTTTTTATACCATAGATGGTATTACACTAAGGTCCCCTCTTTGGTTTTTGGTGAGTGAATGGACACAACATCTGTAGGACTGACTGATGAAAAGAGAAGAGAGTTTGGATAGCTGCCTGAAAGATATGTGGTAATATGTGTCTGCGTTTGTGGAATTTTTCTGGAAAGGTTAGCACTAATCGATGAAAAGAAGCTATTAAATTCAGTTGCCGTTTCTAAATCTGTTGCAGGTGTATAATCATGCTTGGAGAGTTTTATCTGGTTATGTGAATGTTGTTTAGATCCTAGAATGTTTGAGATGGCTTTCCATGTGCTTTTCATGTTGCATTTTGCTTCTTTGAATCTACTCTCATAATAGGAACATTAAAAAGCATTTGCCAGTCATCAGTCCATTTGTGGAGTTCATTAAGAGAGATATATCTTGAGATAATTTCGGGGCTTAGCGTCCCGTCCCGTCTTTTTTTTTTTTTTTTTACACCCCCCAGGAAGTAGCCCGTAGCAGCTGTCTAACTCCCAGGTACCAATTTACTGTTAGGTTAACAGGGGATCATGTTAAAATAAACTTCTGCCCAGTTGTTTCCGCCTCCACCGGGAATCGAACCCGGAACCTTAGGACTATGACTCCCGAGTTCAGTCCACTTAGCTGTCAGGCCCCCTTATACACACGAGTTCTTACATTCTTGTAAAGCCACTAGCATGCAAAACGTTTCGAGCACGTCCTTAATACTATTTTTTCCCGCAGAATACGACACATCAAATCATTTACCAACCAGGTACCCATTCACTGATGGGTGAACAGAGGATAAATATTATAATAGCTATATACTCGACCTAATTTTCCATCCAGTCTCATTTTCTGTTAAACCTTATTCATTATTCTATATGTATTTATCACTATCTACAGACCTGTTGACTGTGTACCTGCTGGTGACAACAATATTCACCATATTTGTCACCTTCTACAAGGGGACGTGGCTCATAGACTTGCTTGCCTTGCGAAGCATTCCCGATGCTGGCTTCTCTGGTGTGCTCTTCTTTGCTGCATGCATTAACTGTGCTGTCTGCTTCATATGGGAGGTATAACATGTTCAGTTGCATTTTCTTATGTGTTTAAGGTCAGAAAGACACCAAGACAAAATGTGCATCTGAGTATATTTTACATTATACTTTTGAAAGTATTTTGCAGAAAATTGAAGATCTGGTTAAGATTAGCAAGCATGTGCGTTCATAAGACAGTCTTGCCTTGAATATAGAAAGAAAATAGTTTAATGAGACATATCTTTATTTAGCTGAGAAGTTTATCTTGCTACAAAAAAAAATATAAATTTGTTAACCTAATTGTTACTTCAACTTAGGCCAGACTACAGGAATATTAATATTTTAATTTAAGATCTTCCAATATGCCAACTTTATATTATATTTACCTCATCATTGCCAAAGACAAAACTGTTGATGCACATCATGGTACAGTAGAGGATTTCTGTAAAAACTTTTGAGAAAGTATTAATTTCACACACAGGATGATTTTTTTGTATTATAAGATGTGAATAGATGTGTGTGTTCTAGAGGTGGCTGCTGTACGGTGTGATGCAACGGTACGTGATGCCATGGTTCCAGATCATCTGTCGGTCACGTTCACTTCACACTAAACTTCAATCCGAACTACAAGGCAGAGAGGAATGGCCTCCTCTCACTGAACCCCCAGAATCTCAGCTCTTACAAAATTCGAATATTGGTATGATGGATTTCATTTTAGCATACATTTTAAGCGTTTAACATTGGTTGAATATGAAATATGGAAGTAAAAATATAGTGTCCTGTAAACAGTATTTACTAGTATTACAAAATATAAACATTTTCTCAATTTATTTTTCCAGGGGAAATAATGATGGATGAAGAACTAGACGTAGAAGATGAAGAATATAGTGACACAATGCTCATGAGAAAGTTGACACGCCGCCACCAATTTAAAGCTACTGTCAAGTACCTCCATGAAAAGCCTCCTCAAAGTGACACTAAGATGGATGGTGTCACATCTAGTGTTAACATCAACCCCACAGGTCCACAACATGAGACACAATCTGAATATGAACCCTTGATGAATATTAATTCTTCTTGTACTCCACTAGAAAGGTATTTTATTTGTCTCTACATCCTTATTTTTGTCATTAAACAGCACAGCTTATATACATGTACTGCATAAAGTTTTACCTTAATTTACTATTGGTTTCTCTGAGTATCAGAGAATATTTTTTTGTTTTTGTCTGGCAGCAAGACAGCTCAACTGCTCCTTACTGAGATACTTTTAAATAAGGATACTTTACTATCTTATCACACTATCTTTTCTACTTACTATCTTACTATTTAAAGGATACTATCCTTTAATTAATTAAGGATACTTTCATAAGGAGGATAAGGATACTGAGCTACTTCCATAAGGAACTTAGCAAAAGAAGAGGGTAAGAATGATCAGGAAGTCATCAAGGAAATGATAGTGAAACTGATGGACAATGAAGAGAATCTTAGTATAATCAATTTTGGGAGGTTAGGTAAACCTGAAGCAAATCTGGTACGCATAACCACTGCAAACTTTGAGCACAGAAGAAGGATACTCAACCGTGTGCACAAACTTAAAGATCTTGAAGGGTATAACCAAGTCCACATCTCCCCAGACCTCTCAGTAGAACAGCAAAATATGACAGAGTACTAAGAGGCAAGGTAAAGAAGTTAAGAAATACAGATAAATACAAAGATTCATTGTTAAAGATCAGGAGAGAGCAGGTGATCATGAAAGTAGATGGAGGAGAGGACGTAGTCCTTCACCCAGACGTCTGGAACTACTGGGTGGTTCCAGACCTCCCTCAGACATGCTTCCCCCGCCAACAAGTTGGACCTATTGTCTGAGATCAACAAGATGGGGAAGGATCGACAGGCAGCATACCTGCAAAAGGTCTCTATGAATGCCTTTGCACTCATATATGGAAAATCACTTCTAAGGGATTTTCACACTCACTGAGTGAGTTTGCCACCACTCCTCTTGTGGTGGCACAGGTGAACAGGTATGCCTTCACAGGGATTTTGTTCCTAGTACCTGTTAGAGCTCCTGTGTAGTCTACACCAGTGGTCTCAAAGGGACGAAGGTGGACAACTCGTTCATTAGGGAGTGGTGGAGGTCCTGGATGAGGACAAACCCGAGCGTCGTACCTTTGGCAGACTACACAAGATTTTATGAGCCTTACAGTCTGGCGACCTTGAGAAAGCCAGATGCATTGACCAGACGACGGGGAAGAAACATTGGATGTTTTACTTCGAGGTCTATTTTGGCATACTGTAAGCGACCCCTGCATCTTAAAATATGCAATAACTGTCTAGGTCGATCTAGAGACCCAGATCATTTTCAGGTTTCTTAGAACGTTTTCAAAATTCATCCCAAATGTTTCACTTTGCGCCCTTTTGACCCAGTATTTTAAGGGACAAGGAAATTGATATTTGATTCCTATTTTCTTCATGAAATCAAACACCCTTTGTGTGACACCTAATAGTTTGTTAAGATCAGAATACCGATTATGATCAATTACCAGTCATGGGTGGTTCTGGTATCTCGGTGTGAAGCAGTGACATTGTCACAATGATTTGTGGCTTTTGTTTAGGCCACTGGTCACTGACTAGCCACTGAGATCCATGGGATCCCATTTCAGTTCTGGATAATTGTTTCAACATCAGGCCTCTGGAGAGATAGTCAACTGGGTTCTTGTTGGTGGGTATATATCTCAGTTTGTACCCTCCTGACAACTCTAATTTCCTTAACGCGGTTACTCACGTAAGGAGTTTTGCTATTGTTATAATAAATAATAAATAAATAAATGTTAGGTAAGATACATAACTACAAGAGATTTTACAAAGATTGATGGAATTATAGATAGAGCTAGTACATACAATGCCTAAAGCCACTATTACGCAAAGCGTTTCGGGCATGAAAAACATTAATGACTAAAGCTTAATACTAATTGAGTATAAAGAATAAAATGTGTTGAGAACAAATAAAAATAGAGATAAAAAAGGGGGGAACATGGCTGAAAAAGCAGCACAAATACAATTAGGTCGACAAACAGCGTTGTTTAAAAAAAAACAGACATGGGTTGACAACAGAGGGGTAAGATAGGTTACAGGGAATTTATTAGGTAGTGCTTCGTTTTTATCTTAAACTGGTTGAGAGAGGTACAGTCTTTAACATGGTTGGGAAGGTCATTCCACATTCTGGGTCCCTTGATTTGTAGAGCATTTCTAGTTTGATTAAGTCGCACTCTTGGAATATCAAAACTGAATTTATTTCTGGTGTGGTGCTCATGGGATCTGTTACAACCTTCAATTGCGCTTTTGAGGTCAGGATTGGCATTTCAGTTCAGCGTTTTATATATTTTTTATTTTATTTTTATTTTTATTTATATATATATACAAGAAGGTACATTGGGTTTGTGAGAATACATTGGATAGTACAGTATTTACATTCTTGTAAAGCCACTAGTACGCGCAGAGTTTCGGGCAGGTCCTTAATCTAGCAGATAATTTTAAGTAGGTGATTTCTATCAGAATTGATAAATGATAAAGATACATTGCAAAAGAAAAATGAGATGAGAGCTTAGTAAGAATATTAAAGCACATTGTTATATTAAAGCTCTGATTGATTACATTGACAGCTTGATTAGTATTTTAAACAAGATTAATAGACACCGTACAGCAGATTGACAGCACATATAAGACAGCAATGATCACAATGGTGAAGATGTTCAGATTGGGTACATAAAGATTGGGAGACTGGGTAGCAAAAGATACAGATAAACAAGATTTATAAACACCATACAGCAGATTGGCAGCACATATAAGAAGACAGCAATGATCACAATGGTAAAGATGTTCAAATTGAGAACATAAAGGTTGGGAGATTGGGTAGCAATAGATACAGTGCAATTTTAAGGCAAAAAGTGAAAAACTATGAAGATGAAATTAGGTACTTTTTAGTATTGATTTTGAATGATGTAAAAGTTGAACAGCTTTTCAATTCAGTAGGGAGGGAGTTCCATAAACTAAGTCTCTTTATTTGCATTGAGTATTTACACAGATTAAGTTTAGCTTTGGGGATATCAAAGAGATATTTTTTCTGGTGTGGTGATAATGGGTCCTATTACATCTGTCCAGGAAGAGTTTCAGACAAGGATTTGCATTTAAGAACAGGGTTTTGTAAATGTAGTTGACACAAGAGAATTTATGGAGTGAGATTATGTTTAGCATGTTTAGGGAGTTAAACAAGGGGGCTGTGTGTTGTCTGAAAGCAGAATTTGATATTATTCTGATAGCAGATTTTTGCTGGGTGATGATGGACTTGAGGTGGTTTGCAGTGGTTGAACCCCATGCAAAGATACCATAGTTGAGATAGAGATAGATTAGTGCATAATATAGAGAGATGAGAGCAGAGTTAGGTACATAATATCTGATTTTGGAGAGTATACCAACTGTTTTAGAGACTCTTAGTTATGTGTTGTATGTGGGTACTGAAGTTGAGTCTCTTGTCTAGGAATAGGCCAAGAAACTTTCCATCATTTTTATTGCTGATGTTTACATTGTCTATCTGAAGCTGAATTGCATTTGTAGACTTGCTTCCAAATAGGATGTAGTAGGTCTTTTCTATGTTAAGTGTTAGTTTGTTAGTTGACATCCATAAGTGGACTTTTTTTAGTTCATTATTAACATCATCATTTAGTGTATGTGGGTTGGGGTTGGAGTAGATGAGGGTAGTATCATCAGCAAACAAAATAGGTTTCAGAATGTTAGAGACATTAGGCAGATCATTGATGTATATAAGAAATGGAAGAGGTCCCAGGATGCTGCCCTGTGGCACTCCAATGGTTATTGGTAGAATGGGAGAGGTTATATTATTGATGGCTACACATTGGTGTCTATTCCTAAGAAAGGATTGGATATAGTCCAGTGCATGGCCTCGGATTCCATAATGATGAATTTACATAAGAGGTAATCGTGATTAACAGTATCAAAGGCCTTTCTCAGGTCAATGAAGAGTCCAATCGGAAACTCATATGTATAATACATACGAGAGAATGTGCAGTGACTTAATATCTAACATATTCAGAGATTTGAGTAGGGGTACCGAGTGATGTCTGGGGCCAGAGTGGGATATTGTCCTAATAGCAACTTTGTGTTGAGTAATTAGAGGACGTAAATGATTTTGGGTAGTAGAACCCCAAGCACAAATACCATAGTTGAGATATGGATAGATGAGGGAGTAATAGTCACCAGGGCAGGGCTGGGTACATAATATCTGATCTTAGAAAGAATGCCAACAGTTTTTGAAACTTTTTTTGATATATTTAGAATGTGTCTCTGGAAATTCAGCTTGTGGTCAATGAGAACGCCAAGGAATTTACCATCAAATTTGTTACAAATTTGGGTATTGTTTATTTTGAGATTTATTTGATTAGAGGATTTATTGGCAAACAGAATATAGAAAGTTTTATCAATGTTAAGGGTGAGTTTGTTGGCAGTTAGCCAAAGATGGACTTTATTTAGCTCAGTATTTACTGTGGCTTTTAGAGCAAGGGGGTCAGGACTGGAGTAAATGAAGGTTGTGTCGTCAGCAAATAGAATTGGTTTGAGGTGTTGGGAGGCATTTGGAAGGTCATGAAAGTAGATGATAAAGAGGAGAGTTCCAAGTATGCTGCCCTGAAGAACACCAATGTTGATGGGTAGGGTGGGAGAAATTGAATTATTCACAGAAACATACTGGAGCCTGTCAGTAAGGTAAGATTTGAGGTATTGCAGGGAGTGTCCTCTGACTCCATAATGATGTAATTTAAGAAGGAGGTTTTGGTGGTTGACAGTGTCAAAAGCCTTACGCAGGTCCACAAATAACCCAACAGGGAACTCATTTTTATCAAGAGCTGCATGAATCAAGTTAATCATACTAATAAGTGCATCGTTAGTGCTTTTTTGGGGCCTGAAGCCATATTGACAAGAGCTAAGTATATTGTGTTTGGCTAGATAAGAGTAAAGCTGCTTGTAGATTAGTTTTTCAAATATTTTTGACAAGTTAGGCAGGATTGATATACGTCTGTAGTTGT